ATCTGGCACAAAGCAGGTCTCAACGGTGAAGATGTAAAGTGTAGGCAAATCACCTGGGTTCAAAGCCTGGCTCTGCTTTTTACTTTCTGTATGACTGGGCAGTTACTTAACCTCTCTGTGCCTTAGTTTCTTCATCTATAAAATATCACATACCTAATAAGTCTCTGTGAGGACTAAGAGAATATCTTGTAAAATGTTCAGCATGATACCTGGCACATACACTTGGTGAAAGTTAGTTTCCAAAGCAAGACATTCTAAGTTAGCTCTTTCTGGGCCCTGAGCTAAAGTTTGTACAGTGAGGCAAAGCCAGACCCCTCCCTTAGGTGGGCACAGTTACAGCCCTACTCTGGAGAATTTGGCAATAGCTTCCAATCTTCAAGGCCAAGTGCACATATGGCATTCAAATCCTTCCCCCAGGGAGCCTTTCCTGATTGCTTTGCCCACAAATCTCTCCTCCCAGCCTCTCAGGCTGTCAGGTAGCGCCCATGACCTCCCTCCCAAAGGCACCCCCTCCACACACACACACACACACACACACACACACACACACACCCCTCAGCCTGTAGAGCTGGGCACAGTGGGGCTCCAGGAAGACCTGTTAGCTGACACACTCACTGTGGGCTCCTGGTTCTGTGCCAGAAAGTGGCTGGCAATTCCTCAGTTCCCTAGAATTGGCCGCAAAGTGGTGGCAGGTGTAAATCACCCCCTTCAACAGAACCAGGGCCCTAGGGAGCCTGGGAGGCCCCAACTGCCCTTTTGGCTCTGAATCTAGACCAGCAGCAACAGGGAAGGGGTTGGGTGCCTGTTTTCTCCTCTTCTCCCCGAGGAAGTGCAGATGAGATGCAAATATCCAGTGTACTTGGGGGTTGGTAGGAAGGAGACTGAGTCTGCAGTGATGGGACCAACACGGCAGGTGCTGCTACTCTGTGTCTGCTAAGGTTCTAGGAACTTTCAAATATCTTAAGTGGGTGTGGGGGAACGTTGGGGAAAGAGGATGTTTTTAGTGGCTCTAGCCCAGAGAGTTTTCACCCAAATCTCTTCTGTGCTGAGTGTTGTGGTGGATACTGGAGCCTCTGAGGAACAAACCCTGGGCCCAGTTTGCAAGAGGAGAAAAAACTGGTTGCCCTATAATGGTGGCTGGGGGCAGAGGTGGCCCCAAAGTGAGGGGAGAGAGGGAAGATTTGTGCTGTGCTAGGTTCTCAGTGCTTCCCAATCCTCACCTCTCCCCTCCCAATTATTTGGCAAAAAAAAAAAAAAAAAAAAAAACTGAAAAAACCCTGAGCCTCCCACCCCAAGTGCTCAGGGCCCATCAATACTCCACTCACCCTTCCTGGGGAATGCACTTAATGGACCCCAGGGCTTAAAGATTGATCTGATAGGAATCCTGAGGACTTAGGTGGTGAATTTTAACTCCCTCCTCTCCAGCCCAACTCTGGGGACGCGAGTCCATCCCTTCCGGCCCCATGCTGGAGACTCCGTGCCCCTGGCCCGTGTAGCCCACACTCACCAGCTCCATCCTCAGCGCCATGATCTTGTCCCCCAGGCTGTGGCCAGTGCTAGGCACCCCCGGGAGCAGCAGGGCGCCAGAGGTTCCCGGCTCCCACTCGCCTCGCAGCCCGCGGAGCAGCCCTTCAGGGGTCTTCCTGCCCACCTTGCCCTCCACGTCTCGCAGGTCAGGCGTCTGGGACTCCGCAGTCCCCTCCATGCGGGCCTAAGCCTGAACAGGGTTGGGCGACCGGACGCCGGGATCCCGCTCCCAGGGGTCCTCCTTTCACAGCAGCTAGTGCAGAGCGGAACCGGTGGGTCCCCGCCCGCGCTGTGTGGGGGCGGGAGGAGGGCGCCGTAACACTCAGAAAAGCCGCGCAGAGGGTGTGTGTGTGTGTGTGTGTACATTCGAGTGCTGCGCACACACCTCTGGCTCCGGAATGGGTGAGGCTGGGCGATGCTGGATGTGCACCTGAAAGAGCTCAGCGCCTTCTCCTGACACTGGCTCCGGAATGGGTGCTGGGCGATGCTGGATATGCACCTGAAAGAGCTCAGCGCCTTCTCCTGACTCTGGCACTTAGTCCAGCCAGGCACTCAGCAGGTGCCCAATGAATGTTTGCTGAGTGACGTTAAGCATCCTCAGTTAGGGAAGTGGGATTTTAAGGAACATTGGTAACAGAACTACAGAGGGTTTTGGAAGGCTTCCTGGAGTAGAGGAGCTGGATCTAAAACAGTGCTTGGAATTTAGCTAGCCACTGATAAACACACACATCCAGTGTAGCCACTAAATTTAGACTAAAGGAGCAGCCGGTATTGAAGCCGAAGAGGGCTACATCATGCTTGATCTTGTAAACTGATGCTTCTTAAACTTGACTGTGCATACATGAATTATCTGGGAATCGTTAAAATGCAGATTACAATTCGGTAACTCTGGGGTGGGGCCTGAGATTCTGCATTTCTAACAAGCTCCCATGCTGCTGGTCCAGGGACCACACTTTGAGTAACAAGGTTATAAAAGATGGTTCTAAGGTGCTGGGATTTTATTCTATGGGCAATGATGATCCCTAAAAAGCATTTTATGTTTTGGCTTGATTTTGGTTTCTTTTTCTTTTTTTTTTGCGGTACGCGGGCCTCTCACTGTTGTGGCCTCTCCCGTTGCGGAGCACAGGCTCTGGACGCGCAGGCTCAGCGGCCATGGCTCACGGGCCCAGCCGCTCCGCAGCATGTGGGATCTTCACGGACCGGGTCACGAACCTGTGTCCCCTGCATCGGCAGGCGGACTCCCAACCACTGCGCCACCAGGGAAGCCCCTTGATTTTGGTTTTTAATCCAAGTAATTCCAGCCCATGGTTACAGAAGGATTTATAATGAAAAGATAGTTACCGCAACCTATTCTTTCCCACCTCTAGTCCCACTCCCCAAAGGCAACCACTTTCAGCTATTTTTTCCTGGTGTTTATACTCATAACTCCACAATAGACTTATACCACTATGTATTAATTTTAAACATTGTCTACTGACTTCCTATTATGATAAATAAGATCTACCTCACACTCTGTACTTCCTTCTTCCATTGGCCCTATACATTTCTATCATTATTTTTTAGCTTGTTACCTTTGTAATTTTAAGTAACATACTTTTCCTTAGTATGCCTTGAACCATGGAAGGGTTTTAAATCAGAGATTTACAAAACAGATTTGCCTTTTTGAAAAAATACTCTGGATTTTGCAAGGAGAAAGAATTAAAGGGGTAAAAATCTGGAGTCATGGAGACCAGCTAGAAGACAAGAAACTAAAATGGCCTGGACAGCGGCTGGTGGTAAGGTTGGAAAAGAATTAGACCTGAATGGAGGAGGACTCTTTAGGAGGTAAGATTGACAAGACTTGGTGACCAGTAACATTCATTTGTTTATACTGGCATTTGATAAATATTTGTCCAGAAAACGAATGATTTCAAAAAATATTATGGAGAATCTCCTATGTTCTAGCCGTTGTATGTGGTACAAAGAATACAATGGTGAGCAAACAGACCTGGACTGGTTGCTGGAGAGAGACAAGGAATCGAGGGTGACTCCCAGCTGTTTGATCTGATGCCATTCATGAAGGAAGGGAAGACAAGAAGAGGACTGGGAGTGAGAAGAGTTGATTCTAGCAGGAGCTATGTTGAATTGGAGGGACCTATGAGAATGTCCAGCTGCTGGTTGAACACAGGTCCGCCTGGAGCTCAGGAGAAAGGTTAAGTCTGCAGATATGAGTTTAGGAATCTAGATGGTCAGAGAGCTCATGAGAGTGGATAAGATCTTCTGTGGAGAGTGAGTTTGAGGAGAGAAGAGGGTCAGGGAGGAACCCTGCGGGACACCTTTCTAAAATGCCTTTTTAAAATGTGTTGGGATTTCTTCTATTCTAACACATACTTATTAGGAGAAATCACTGATTGCCTCAACTACTGAGACAAGCACTGTTAACATTTTGGGGATACCATCCCACCATTTCAGGAAGCAGATGGAATATGGAGAGCTCAAAAAAAATCTAACCTATCTTCTGGCTTCTTCTGTCTCCCTTTCATCTGTTATCCACAAAACAGTAAATGTTCTCTTAAATTGGATTATGTTGCTTCCCTGCCTAAAATTGTGCCATGGCTACCCACTCACTTCAAATAAGCATCACCATCACCTAGAAACTTTTTCGAAATGCAGTATTCTGCTCTGCCCCAGACTCCTGAATCAAAAACTCTAGAATGGGGCCCAGCAATCTGTTTTAACAAGTCCTCCAAGTGATTCTGATGCAAGCTGAAGTTTGAGAACCACTGTGTTAAGCTAAGTGCTTCGCATGTGTTAAACTCTGTAAGTGTTATTATTGTCAGTATAGTGAGGGGTTAAGAGTGGAATCTGGAGCCAGGCTGCCTGGGTTTGAATTCTAGCTTTGCCAACTTCGTGATATTGGGCCTCATTTTCTTTGTCTAAAAGATTGGGATAGTAACAGTACCTACCTCATGGAGTTGTTGTGGAATTAAATTAGTTAATATAGTAAGATGCTTACTTAGTACAGTGACTGCCATGGAGTGTCATATGAGGTCATACTCATTTCACAGAGAAGAGAACCTAGGCTGAGACGTGAAGTGACTTGCCCAAGGTCTAGGTGGGTGGTAGAACCAGGTTTTTAATTCCCCCGTAGTCTGCAGTGGCCTCGCATGCTCTAGACCTGGGTGCAGCCTTGCCCAGGCAAAGGGAGGGGTATCTGGGTCCGAGGCCTGTAGCCCCTCTGACCCTGGCGTGCCCTGCGGTCTACTCCAAGGCTCTAGGACTCCGACCCCAATCGGGTTTGCCACCACGCAGTGTTGGGAGCGGGGAAGCTGCTCTCCCCCAGCCGCCCACCCGGCCAGCCAGCTGCAGGGCGGCCGAGGCACCGAGCACTACCGCTACTCGCTGGGGGAAGACACCAGCCGCCGCCCTAAGCGCCTCCCGCCGCCCTCTCACCCCGCGGCGGCGGCGGCGGCGGAAGCGGGGAGGCGGGCCGCCCGGGCCGGGGCGGGGCCGCGAGCGGCATGGAGGAGGCGGAGGCCGCGGAGCGCCGGGCCGAACAGTGCGGGCCCGAGCGGGGCCCGAGCGGGGCCCGGGCCCCCTGAGCCGTGAGTGTCTCTGGGCGGGGGTCCTGGAGGGGTGGCATGGCCGGGGCGGGTCCCCGAGTGCTGGGGCGGCCCAAGGCGCGGGAGGAGAAGAGCAGGGCCAGATAGGAGGGGGCGAGGGCGGAAGGGGGTGGAGAATGGTGGGGGGGGGGTCGCTGCCCTTCGCTCACCCTAGGACTAGGAAGGCCTGGGGCTTGGTTCTTTTAGGGATTGATGAGCCTTAAGAGCCGATTATTTGGCCTCCAGCCTTGGGACAATGGGCAGTCCTGTCAGTTTCCCCAGCCCCAGGGGAGTTTCCAGGTGATCTGACCCCTCTGAAGGTTTCCTTTCCAGAGAAGTTGAGCCACTTTTCCCAGGTCACACAGCATGGATGCTGCAAGGATGAGTTACTGGGGGGTCCTCCTTCATCTCCCCAAGAAAGCATCAGACTTTGGGAGGAAAACTTTACCCCACGTGACCCTTTGGTCTCCTCAGATTCCTGAAGGCATGGGTTGGCCAGGACAGTGGTGACCCCCCAATCCGGCATGGACGACTGGAAGCCCAGCCCCCTCATCAAGCCCTTTGGGGCTCGGAAAAAGCGGAGCTGGTATCTTACCTGGAAGTATAAACTGACCAACCAGCGGGCCCTGCGGAGATTCTGTCAGGTATAGAGGTGTCCCATACCTCCCAGGGGCTCCCTCCCAGCTTTACCCCAGCCTAGACTGTGGGTACTGGGACCTACCTTGCCTGCCCCCACCCTGGAAAGAGGGTGGGAAAACTCTTTGTCTCATGTCCCTACCAGGTAGTGGGTTGGGTCCAGAGTTCTGGAATCAGAACCCAAGTACAACCTCCTAGGCTTCTGACAAACCTGAAGTTGGATCAGGAAGGCTTTGCCCAGGACCCACACCTGTCAGGCAGTCAGGGCTAGGACCCAGGTCTTCTGATCCCCAGCGTGGTTCTCTGGGACTGGCTCCATCTCTAGGAACTAATTGTGGAGGAACCAAGGGAATCAAGGCTCAAATGGAAGAATACAGGAGTTCTGGGTAGGGAGCACCCTGATGAAGGGGGAAGGGTCAGGGGAGGGTCCCTGAAGGAGGTGGTCATGAAACTGAACCCAGGTCTGGGGGAGTAGAGCTGGTCAGACAGAGGGAAGAGAGGCAAAACCCAGGTTCTCCCTGTGTCATCACTTCAGCCAGAGCCCTCCTTTCAGCAAGACCCGCAGTGATCTTTAGGGGGTGCCCCTCTTTAGTTGTCCCCACCCCTCCCCTCAGACAGGAGCTGTGCTTTTCCTACTGGTGACCGTCATTGTCAACATCAAGTTGATCCTGGACACGCGGAGAGCAATCAGCGAGGCCAATGAAGACCCGGAGCCAGAAAAAGACTATGGTAGGACCAGACTGAGGATGGGATTGGTGGTGGAGGGGGCGTCCCCTGGGATCCTGTGGCTGAAATCGTGGGCAGATCCCAAGGGGTGAGACACTGCTGGAGGGACTATCTCCATGACCTGTCACACACCCACAGATGAGGCCCTGGGCCGACTGGAGTCCCCACGGCGCAGAGGCAGTGGTCCCCGACGGGTCCTGGATGTGGAGGTATACTCAAGCCGCAGCAAAGTGTACGTAGCAGTGGACGGCACTACGGTGAGTGGGCTGGTGTCTAGTGTACGGTCACTGCATTCTACTTACGGTGTGGTCCGCTGGCTCTGGGTCCACTGCCTGAGTGGGAACTGCAGCTCTGCCAGTTTCTAGCTGTGTGACTTCGGAGGCCTCAGTTCCTCATCTGTAGACTGGGACTAATGATTTCTGCTTGTCAGGATTAAATGTTAGGTATGTGAAATGTATTATATGTAGTGGGATATTATCAAAAGTGATCAGTAGTATTAGTAGGCAGTTAATTCAGTGATTTATTTATTTCGTGGTCCCATTTATTTATTTATTTCCTGGTCCCTTCTTTGGCCTCGGCTTTGTCCTGGACACTGGGAACCTGGAGGTAGTCAGCCCTGGCCCTACTTTGAGGGGCTCCATCTGTTAGACGGTGATACCTCCAGCATGAGGCTGAGATAGTCAAGGGCTCTAAGAGTCGTGAAAGCTGGTGGAGGGTCGGGAGGTGTTGTAGAAAGATGGGACCTCTTTTGATGGGGGTGCTATGGAGGCTTCCTGGAAGAGATGGCCTTCAGGCTGGGTTGGAAGAGAACTGTGTGAACAGAAGCAGAGGAAGGAGGGGAGGTTTTGTTTCATGCAGTTGTTTTTTTTAAGTGCCCATAAGACAGAGAGACCTCAAATGCCAGAGTGGAGAGTTTGACCTTGTCTCTGCTACCCTGTAGGTGCTGGAGGATGAGGCCCGGGAGCAGGGCCGGGGCATCCATGTCATCGTCCTCAACCAGGCCACGGTGAGGTTCTAGGGGTAGGGGACCTAGAGGGCCAAAGCTGAGCCCTCCTTGCTGGTGACATTAACTCATGAGAGGTGTGTCTCCTGCCAGGGCCATGTGATGGCAAAGCGGGTGTTTGACACGTACTCGCCTCATGAGGATGAGGCCATGGTGCTGTTCCTCAACATGGTGGCACCTGGCCGAGTGCTCATCTGCACCGTCAAGGTCAGTGACTCTGCCTTGGCCCCATTCCCAACACCCCTAGCTCCAGCCCTGCTCATGGCCCTGGATTCTGTGCCCCTAATATGGCATAGTGGCAAGAGCCTCTGGAGGAAGGTGACCAGGTTCCAATCCTATCCTTGTCAAGACAGAGTCCCTACCCTTATGGAGCTTACACCAATAGGGCAAGAGCAACAAAAAGCAGCCAAATAAACCTACCATGTCAGGAAAAGATAACTTGTGTGAAGAAGAAAATTAAGCAAGGGAGACAGGGTGATGGGGGTGCATTTTAGAAAGGGGAGGCCTCTGTAAGGACATGACCTGTGCACAGAAAGCTGGAGGAAGTGAGGAGTGAGCCATGTGAATATCTGGAGGAAGAGCATTCTAGATAGAAAGAATGGCAGGTGCAAAGGCCCTGAATTGGTAAGGTGCTTGGTGTGGAACAGCTGGGCTGCCAGTGGAGCTGGAGTAGAATAAGGGAGGGGAGGAGAAGGGTGGTGAGAAGAGGGCAAGGAGGTAGCAGGGGACAGAGGTGCAGACTGTGTGGGATCATGTTAAGGACTAATTAGCCTAGTGACCTTGGGTGATTCTCAGAATCTGTCTAAGCCTTTAATTATCTGTGAAATGATAGTAACCACAAAGGGTTGTTGTGATAGTTTAATGAGCTAATTTAAGTAAAAGGTTTTACATGGTGCTTGACATGTAGTTAGTGTTCCCTGATGCTAGGTCTGCTGGAGCTGTGCCAGTCAGGCTGACCACCTTTTCTGGTCTCCCAGGATGAGGGCTCCTTCCACCTCAAGGACACAGCCAAGGCTCTGCTGAGGAGCCTAGGCAGCCAGGCCGGCCCTGCCCTGGGCTGGAGGGACACCTGGGCCTTCGTGGGACGAAAAGGAGGTGCCAGCACCGTAGGCCATCCGCCCTGTAGTATTAAGGGGCTGAGAGGAGCAGAACTCCAGGAGATGGGGTGGGCTGGGGGGCAAATAGGAGTCGGTGGTGGTAGGCTGGATGAAAGTGGGCCGGGAGATGGGAAGAAGCTCCAGAACTGCAGCCTGGGCCCCCATTGCCCCTCATTTCTGCCCCCTGCCAGGTCCTGTCCTCGGGGAGAAACATTCTAAGTCACCTGCCCTCTCCTCCTGGGGGGATCCAGTCCTACTGAAGACAGATGTGCCGCTGAGCTCAGCTGAAGGTGGGGTTAGTGGGTGCTGGGCTCCAGGGCAGTGCCTGGGCTGGGGATAGGCATTTGGGTTCTCTTCACGGGGCTCTATTCTTGACTGGGTGCCTGGTGTTCTCCAAACCACACTGGCCTCATGCCCTCATCCTGTTGACCTCATCCCTCCCTCAGAAGCAGAGTGCCACTGGGCAGACACAGAGCTGAACCGTCGCCGCCACCGCTTCTGCGGTAAAGTCGAGGGCTATGGGAGTGTGTGCAGCTGCAAGGACCCCACACCCATCGAGTTCAGCCCTGACCCAGTGAGTGGGGCCTTGGACAGCGAGGCCCGGACTCCTTCCCAACTTGGCAAGGGGCCCCAGGAAAGGTCCAGGTTGGGCTTTCCCTACCCCAGCCTGGGAGGGAACCAGGAGCTGAGGATTTATACTGAGCCCTGAAAGACGGGGCGTCTTGGTTGCGGGGAAGGAGCAGGCCATGTGAGCAAAGGCCTAGAGTTGGAGTTGGGCTGAGTGTGTGGAGGGGCCAGGACAGGGAAGACCCTCTGCCTTTTCCCTTGAGTCTCCCTCTCCCTCAAGACTCTTCCCCAGGTGGGGATCCCAGTTTGAAGAGAGAGTGAGGCAAGAGCTGAACACTATTTCTCCCTCAGCTCCCAGACAACAAGGTCTTCAATGTGCCTGTGGCTGTCATTGCGGGGAACCGGCCCAATTACCTGTACCGGTGAGCCTGGGAGGGGGCTGTATCCAGCACTGAACAGGAGGGTGCTCAGTGGTGGGAACCCGAGGCTCATGTACCTGCAGGGGGAACTCTTGAGGTGGGCGGAATGGAAACAGATTCTAGGTGCATTCACCTTTGGTGGTGAACATGGAGAATCTGGGCCCATCTGTAAGCACAGGGGAGTCCTGATTTGGGGGGACAAAGAGGCCTAATCCAACCCTGGGCTCCCCAGGATGCTGCGCTCTCTACTCTCAGCCCAGGGGGTGTCTCCCCAGATGATAACAGTTTTCATCGACGGCTACTATGAGGTGAGTGGGGCTTGGGGGCTTTGGGTGGAGCAGAGTGCAGGGTTGCTGGTGCTGAGTAGCAGTGATCACAGAGGACTGGCAAGGGAGACAGCCCGGGCAAGGGCCATGAAATGTGCAGGGCTTGGCGTGTCAGCGCCTGCAGGGGTGGGCAGGGGGCGGGTGGCTCACATGATGACCGGCGGCCATGCCCCTTAGGAGCCGATGGATGTGGTGGCGCTGTTTGGTCTGAGGGGCATCCAGCACACTCCCATCAGCATCAAGAACGCCCGTGTGTCTCAGGTACCGCCTAGGCAAGGATGGAAGGGGTGGACACCGGGCCCCACTGTCCACCCCAAAGCTCATGTGCCCTATTCCTACTCCCCACCCAGCACTACAAGGCCAGCCTCACTGCCACTTTCAACCTGTTTCCGGTGAGTAGTAAAGACAAAACTCTTGGACCTAGAGAGGGGAAACATGGGCATAAGTCTGGTCTTATTATATAGCAAGCTCTTCCTCTCTCTGGGTCTCATCCTCCTGATGTGGAAAATGGGGGTAGTGCTGCCTGAGAAGTGGGATGGAGGTGGAAGAGACGGGATGAGAAAGTCCCCCTTGGGATCATGTTGTCCCCCACCCCCTACAGGAAGCCAAGTTTGCTGTGGTTCTGGAGGAGGACCTGGACATCGCTGTGGATTTTTTCAGGTAAGGGAAGTGTCCCTCCATGCAGCTTCAAGCTGCGTAGGGCCTCTGTGCATGACTGGGTCTCCAGGGAGGAAGGCAATGAGGGGTCTTGGAAAGCTTTCCAGAGGAAGCAATCTCCAAAGTGGGGAAAAAGCCTGAGCAAAGATAGGCTGGTGGGGGTTGGGGCTGGAGTAGAGAGTAGAAAGGATGAATGGAGACAGTGGGGCTTTGGGGGAAGGAGGCATGACTCTGGAGTCCCATCTCCAGTTCTTCCAGCATCACTGTGTGACTGGGTTTGTCCTTGCCCCTCCCTGAACCCCTGGACCCTGCCTCTCAGTTTCCTGAGCCAATCCATCCACCTGCTGGAGGAGGACGACAGCCTGTACTGTATCTCTGCCTGGAATGACCAGGTAGGCTGAGTGGCCAGGGGTCAGCTGCGGAGTTGGTAGAGGCCCCGAGCTAACACCTCCCGTCACGGCCCCCTGTCCCCAGGGGTATGAACACACAGCTGAGGACCCAGCACTGCTGTACCGCGTGGAGACCATGCCTGGGCTGGGCTGGGTGCTCAGGAAGTCCTTGTACAAGGAGGAGCTTGAGCCCAAGTGGCCCACACCGGAAAAGGTACCCTGGCAGGGTAGGGTGAGTGGGCTGAAGTCCCCTACCAGCTTGGAAGCTCGTAACTCTCAGAGTCTTCCACGCCCCCAGCTCTGGGACTGGGATATGTGGATGCGGATGCCGGAACAACGCCGAGGCCGAGAGTGCATCATCCCTGACATTTCCCGATCCTACCACTTTGGCATCGTTGGCCTCAACATGAATGGCTACTTCCATGTGAGTGGGAGGCAGGGGTGTTGGGGCATAGGGCACAGTGTGGTAAAAGGGGCAAGAACATGGACTCGAGCGACCCCAGCTCTGCCACTCACTAGCCATGTAGCCTTAGGGAAATTACTTACCTTCTTTTGCCTCAGTTTCTTTATTTGTGAAATGAGGATAAAAATACTCCTACCTCATAGGGTTGTGAGGTTATGAGGTTTAAATGAGTTAATATGTATAATATGCTTTGGACTGTAAACATTATATAAGGATTAGCTGGTATTATTTTTATCATTACTATTTTTAGCACTAGACTGTGGGTGTGGGGAGGATATTTCGGCTGCCACGCACTCGTCCAGCCCAGCAAACTCTGCCCTCTCCTGTCCTTGCAAGTGCTGAGGCCTAAGCCTCAGCCTGAAGTGAACAGAGAGGGCCCCAGGTCCCCACCCCTTCATCGCTGTGTCCAAAGGGCCACTCCGCAGTTATAGCCAGGGAGGCCTTGAGACAACCCAGTGTAAAGAATGGAGAGTTTCCAGCTTGGAACCTCCTAGAAGCCAGAAGGGCCTTCAGAGGCTGATTACTACAAGACCCCCACTCATCTCCAAGAGGGACGGGGAGTGACCTCATGTCCTTCACCCTTAGTACCTTAGTCATAGCAGTTTTCTCCCTGCCAGTCCAGCCTGTCCCTTTGCAGGGGCCATTCCTGGCTTCTGTGGCCCTAGAACAGCAGGCCCAGGGAGAGCCACTGGGGACAAGGACTAGCTCAGGGGTCAGTAGCATGAGATGCCAGTATGAGCATGAGCTCTCTGGCAGTGGTGGAGCCAGAGGGACCTTTATAGATCTAGGACTTCATTTGTGGGCCTCGTGGATATGTGGTGGGTCAGCGGGCAGGTGTGGGCCAGACAGTGTAATGCCCTGATTTTCACCTTCACGTCCATCCCAGGAGGCCTACTTCAAGAAGCACAAGTTCAACACGGTTCCAGGTGTCCAGCTGAGGAACGTGGACAGGTGGGGGCTGGGGACAGCCAAGGGGAGGATATTTAGGGGCCTTGATAACCAGTGCCTGACAGGCCCTACTAGCCCTGCGGTCTGTGTGTTTACCCCAGCCCTGCTGCCCCCCAATCTCCATGTCATCCCTTGAGGGGCTACTCCCTCCCCTGACCCATTTCTCCCTCTCCTTTAGTCTGAAGAAAGAAGCGTATGAAGTGGAAGTTCACAGGCTGCTCAGGTATGGCCTAGGGCAGTGGGGTATATGAGGCAGGGGGTAAGGAGAAGTCAATACTGGGAGTCTTGGCCCCATAATTTGTGGGGCCCACTGCAAAATGAAAACCAAGCTCCCTTGTTCAAACATTATTAAGTGGGACTTCCCTGGCAGTCCAGTGATTAAGACTCCACACTCCCAATGCAGGGGGCACGGGTTTGATCCCTGGTTGGGGAACTAAGATCTCATGTGCCGCGGCCAAAAAACGCCAAAAAACAACAAATGTTAAGAATTCCAAGATGGCAGCAGTAGAGCATTAAAAGCACAGGGCCTGTGTGACACACTCATGAGGTAGGCCCTGTCTTGGCCTTTCTCCCCCACTCCCTGCTACAGTGAAGCTGAGGTTCTGGACCACAGCAAGAACCCTTGTGAAGACTCTTTCCTGCCAGACACGGAGGGCCACACCTATGTGGCCTTTATCCGAATGGAGAAGGATGATGACTTCACCACCTGGACCCAGCTTGCCAAGGTGCCTCAATACCACACCTACCCCAGGAATACCCCTCCCCAAGATACAAGGAGCCTTTCTGGAATCTTCCACCTCAGAGCCTCTCTTCTAAGCCCCTTTACAAATCCATATTCTTGAAGATGCTACCTCTTGCAAACTGAGGAGGCTGCTGAGGAGAGGGGGTTGGCCAAGGGCCCTCCCCACAGCTCTCCGACTCTTGCCTTTGCCCCACCCCACCCCCACCAGTGCCTCCATATCTGGGACCTGGATGTACGTGGCAACCACCGGGGCCTGTGGAGATTGTTTCGGAAGAGGAACCACTTTTTGGTGGTGGGGGTCCCAGCCTCCCCCTACTCGTGAGTGACTCTATTCTGTCCTTGGAAATGGAAGACTAGTGGGGTTAGGGGACGTAGCTAATGACCTCCTCCCTATTCGTTTTCCTGTTATCTTCCCAGAATGAAGAAGCCACCATCAATCACCCCAATTTTCTTGGAGCCACCCCCAAAGGAGGAGGGAGCCCCAGGAGCTGCAGAACAGACATGAGACCTCCTCCAGGACCCTGCAGGGCTGGGTACTGTGTACCCCCAGGCAGGCTAGCCCTTCACCCAATCCTGTAGGATTTTGTAGACACTCTCAGGGGCTGGGGCTGGTTTGTTTTTAACATGAGACTTAATTACTAACTCCCAGGGGAGGGTTCCCCTGCTCCAACATCCCTGTTCCTGAGTTGGAGGTCTATTTATTTACTTCCTTGTCGGGCAAGGGCAGGATAGTACCTGGGAATCTTTGGGATCCCTGGGCAGCTGATCCTGCCCTTTGTATACTCCCTCCTCCCAGGCCTGGCTCAGAATCTAACCTATTTATTGACTGTCCTGAGGGCCTTGGAAACCGGCGGAAGCCTGTAGGGCCTTGATTTTTTTTTTGGACTGGAGTGCTGCCCTGAGGGTGGGGCAGGCTCTTACTCAGGAAACTGCTGTGCCCAACCCATGGACAGGCCCAGCAGGGGCCCACCTGCTGATGCAGACTCACTCAGAGACCCTCAGACACTGAACCAGGCCCCTTTCAGCCTCCTCTTTGTCCAGATTTCCAAAGCTGGATGAGGTGGTCATTGATTAAAAAAGGAGAAAAGCTCTGGGGATTATCTTGTGACTGTGTGTGTGTGTGTGTGTGTGTGTGTGTGTGTGTGTGTGTGTGTGTGTGTGTGTATGTGTATGTGTGAGAGAGACAGACACACACAGAGACAGAGAAAGAGAGAGAGATGGGTAGGAGAGAGGATGGTCGTGATGGATGATGGGTTTTCTTTACTGTCCTCCACAGGTTTATCTTCCATTTGGGGCCATTTGGCCAGCAGGGGATGCCCAAGTCTCAAACTCCAATGTTTTTACCCTAGAATAACAGAGCCTGACCTTTGCCCCACCCTACTTGGGGCTGAGCTCAGAGCGGCCACCCTATACCCCATTCCCACTGTTTAATTAACCATCAGGCTGTTTTCTGCCTAGCTCGTGTCTGGGCCAGGGCACCTGTCCCCAAAAATGGAGCAAGAGAGAGCGAAAAGGGATACCTGGGGATGGGGGGGGGCGGTGATAGAGAGCAGGTGAGTATAGTGGAGGTGGGAAGGAAGTGGATGAGACAGAGCTGAATGGGCATCATTCAGGAAGTGAGGACTGGGCTGCAGGTGGAGACATAGGAACAAGGATGTCTATGGTCCTTAGGGTACTTTGTATGCAGACTCCATATCTGGGCATTTTTCTGGAGAAAAGCCATCATTTTCATCAGATCACCCAACCAGTGATCCAAAGAAGTCAGGAAGATCTAAGTTAGTCACGCTAGCACCAGAAAATGGATGAGATTGTCCAGAGGAAGTGGTTGAGATAGCCCAAGGCACAGGGCATGACATTTAAGGAATCTGTGAAAGACTTAGGTTCAAGAGAGTAAGTGTAGGACACTTGGAGAAGGGGTCTGCCTGCAGAGCCCTTGCAAAGTGAGCCTCATGAGCTCCTTATATAGAGCCTTGGCCAGGGAGGCAGGAGCTGGCTGAAGCTCTGCCCTGTCACCAGCTCTCTGCCCTTGCCTCTCCAAGCGGTGCCTGGAGCCCCGCTCGGAGGTGGCACGGGTGGTGTGTGGCTTCAGTGTTTGCTGGAGGTAGAGATAGCTCTTGAGGTGCCACAACAGCCAGGTTGAGGAACAATTAGCTCATAATGAGGTGGAGGAGGCCCACCCAGGGCAGACAAATCCCTTGTAGCCTCTATATAGGTGCCTGGGGGTGGGGTAGTGTGAGAGGCATAGAAAGGTGGCAAAGGTGGGAGGGGGCTAAGTGCTCTACCTGCCTATCCTCCCAGCAGGCTGCTGATCTGGGCCTCACAGACCAGCTCTCAGGCACTGCACTGCGCTGGCTAGGTCGCAGTTCCTTTTTGGATTCACGAGGGGTGATGGATCTGGGTTGCCCTAGTAAAACCTGGGAAGAGGAATCTAGGGCTCAGAGGCAAGCAAGGAGGACTGGTTTGCCAGGCTGGGCTTTGCTTGGTAGTAGACACCATATCCTCTGGCCACAGCCTTCCACCCTAGTGCTATGTCTCCTGCAGCAGCAATCAATCAGATCTATGTCTGGGACATTCTGGCCTAAAAGTAAATCATGTTCCCATGTCAGCCAGGATCCCACCCGGCTCTGGAGTCAGATGTCCTGGACCCACATGCAGGCTCAGGTCTTCATGGGAGGTTGTGGGCCTGGAACAAGTCACTTGGCCTTTCTAGGCCCAGTTTCTGGAACATGGGGGTGGTTAAGACTCGATAAGAGATCAAATCTATAGAGCCCTGAGCAACCAAGACCGAGAATAAATGAAATTCTTTCTGAAATCCCTAAAGCAGGGACAGGTCGGGGGCTGTGCCTGCATGAGAAGGGTAGGCAGCTTGGGTCCCCTGATGTGGGGGCTTCTGGAGGGCTTCCCAGAGCCTAAGGAATGACCCTCTTCCATCGCCCTGGCAATATTTCTGCTCTCCCTGCCCCCACTTGGGTACAAGCTTTTTATTTTCATAGCTTTCCAGCCCAGTGCTCCTACCCAGGAGAGGGCAGTTTCAGGCCAAAGTCCTCGCACATTATAGGACTGCAGACTGGCCCAGCCCCTGCTTCCTCCCTCAGTGTCCTCTTGGCCATCCTTGCTAGGCTCCCTCCCAGGCCTGGCATCTGAATGAAGGTGAGAAATAGCCACCCACCGCCGTGCTACTTCCATTCTGCTACATTTCTAGGAGCCTTCTGAGTCAATAGCCCCACAGGAATCTGAGGCCAGTTGAGGCATGATGGGGTCCCTCTCCTGAAGGATACACAAAAAGAGTCCAAATGGAAACATTTTAATGGGTTTTTGAGTTCTGAAGTGCTTTCTACACATCTGCCTGGTGACTGCTGATCTTGCATATGCTCGTGTTATCGGTGCAGTGCCTTTAATCCCCCCTGTGGAGTACTGGGATCACCAAGAGCACCCCACCCCCTGGCCTGAGAGGGTATCAAGGGTTTAAGAAACAGACTGGAGGAATGGGCAAGAGGATTGGCTACCTTACAGGCTCTGAAATAGGTGGACCCCAACATCACCAATGGAAGGACAAGTCTGGCACAGGTTCAAGGGGGTGGTGCCTATTTGGCCCCAGGCCCACTCCAGCCCAAGTGACACTGTTAAATCCTGTCCCCACGCTGATCACTGCCTCTTGGCAGTGCTGGGGTGCCTCTTCTCAGTTCCTGTATGGCAGCAGCAGTGGCAGAGGCAGAAGCCGACTTATTTCAGATTGCAGTACAGATACATGGACACAATCATGGCAGCCAGCTGATGAGAAAGGAACAGGCAGAGAGGAAGAAACATGATCAGGGTCCTTAAGCTTTAGTCCCCTGGCCCCCAGACATTCGACATGAAGCTTTGTTAGAAGTCTGTCTCTTCCAGAAAGGCCTCAGACATGGGTCAAGCAGCCCTGAGCCCATGGGGATATCCTGCCCCAACCTCCTCCCCTCCTTACCTCTAAGCCCCCAATTCCAGCTGCCACACCACCCACGGTAACTGCATTGGTTCTGATGTCATACAGAAGCTGATTGAAGCAACCCTTGGAGGGGAGAGAGCATCTATAGTCAGCAGCTGACCCCACTCACATTCAGCTCTCCGAGGCCATTAAAGCAGCCCAACCTCCCAGGCCAACCTATACCTCTACTTTCTGGTTCTGGGCCTCGACCCTAGTGCAGGGTTCCACAAATGTGCCATTGTCATGGTCAAAGCAACAGTATGGGGGAAAGACGTTGTTCTCTTTTTCATAGGGAGAGTCCTCAAAATCTGTGTAGTTGTTGAAGCCACAGCACTTGAGCTGAAGATGAGAAGAGATGGTCAGTGGGGCCTTGCTTATTTCTCCTCACCCCAAAATCTCTCCCAGCCCACCTTACCCCTTCCATGGTGGAGTTCCACACTTGGGTGAAGTCTTTTTGGGAACCGTACTCTTTCTTGATGGTGGGCACGACCATCAACGTCAGGAAGTTCTCAGCCTGGGTGGGGAAAGTCAGTGTTTAGGGCCTGGTAGGGAGGGTGGCCATTCGCAGTGCTTTGCCCAGTTGTTCCCGCCTTGCCCCATCCCCGCTCCTCACCGTCGTGGTGTACACCAAGGCAACCACGGCAGCTGCAACCTCAGCAGTGAAGATGAGGAGGAGGATGAAGAAGAACTGAGTGGAGAACAGGGATCTTGAGTTTTAGGGAGAGACAGTCCCTCATGCATTCCTTGCCCTAACCCACCCCCACATGAAAACAAGTCAGGGGCCCCCACTGGCTGAGGCCCCTGGAGTCCAGAGCAGGGCTTGGGGATCCCCAGGGCCTGGTGTCAAGGGTGAGGGACCCTGGGTCTCGGTTACGGGCCTGTGGAGCTGGGTTTGACACACCATCACGAGGGCACACTTGTTCTCAGTCTGGGCACCATAGCAGCCCAGGAAACCAAGAGTGAGCAGCGCAGCGCCAGCTGCGATGAGGAAGTAGCCCACGTTGACAAACTCCATGGCACTGGATGATAGTGGCCCGAAGATCTTCATGAAGGATGGTCCATCGACTGACACCCAGATGCCCACTGCCAACAGGGCCACACCACACAGCTGGAGACAGAGAGGCAGACCTTGAAACAGTGCCATCAAACAGCTCCCTACCACACAACTGAGTTAGGGAGATGGGAGATGAGAAACTTCCCCCTTTATTGACTATGGAGTCTAAAAACTCATCCTGTAGGGAGGAAAAACATCCTTTAGAGCCAGAAAGATGGGAGCTGGAACATCCATAGCCAGCACCAGGCTGCACACCTAGGCAGATATAAATGGGATCAGGGATTCCAGAAATAGCTCAAGGGTGGGGGGAGGGGCAAGGCTTTCCCTCACTGTTGCCAGGGTCATGCCACATAGCTAGGGGTGAAAAAAGTAGGTGAACATCCCCCCCAGCAGCTTCCCCCTCCCTCCCCCCGCCCCCCTCTCCATTCCCCCCTCCAGGTGCCTGGAACAACTGTCCTCTGATAGGTGGGAACAGGGGGGTGGGAGCCTTGAGCAGTCTCCACAGTCACCATAGCAACAGAGGCGTGGCTGAGGTTTACACCTGCTCCCAACATTGGAGAGGGCGGTGGTGAGAAGGGATACCCACGCCAAGGCCCCATTTGGCTCCCCTCCAGAACCAGCCTAGACCTCTCCTTGCCACCCAAGTGGAAACTGAGGCACCAAAGAGGAAGTACAGCCAGAGCTCTTAGAGGCTCTCTGGCTCAACCCCCAGCTCAGAGGGAATCCTGAAGCCTAGACTGGGGAGGAGGGCACTGCCCAGTTCCCACAGCTTAGAGCAAAGCCTTGCTGATCCAGAGCTTCAGTGGATAAATCAGCCTGACGCTGCCTAGGTAGGTGTCCAGTCCCTACTTTCCGGCTATGGAAACTGAGGCTAGAACCAGGAATGAGGTGGCAGATTGTGGGTGGATCCCAGCATGTTTGCCCAAGGACAGAAAGCTGGGCTTTTAGCCTACAGGGTCAAATTTCAAGGAGTCTGAGGCCTGCCCTGCCCAGTCTGGCGAGGCAAGGGCAACAGAAGCAGAAACCAAACCAGATTTGCCTTTAACCCCCTCGGACCAGAGCCCCTGCTCTCCAAATCCCTGCAATCCTGTTGCCTTCTTCAGATACATGGATAAAGTCTAGTTCCCTGAAACCAGAGGAAGCCCAAGGCACAGACCACATCGGAGCCAGAGTTTACTCACCCCCAGCCCAATTCCTCCAAATTCATCTATACTTCATGTCTCCATTTCCTCCCCTTTCACTCACTCTAACCCACTCTCATGTGGCTCCAAGGTCTCTGGTGACATGGGCTTAGTCATGGGTGGATCCTCTTTGACCTCCCTGATACCTCGTTTGCTTCCTGCTGCTCTTTCTTCATTTGCTTCCTGGTGGCCATTTCCCTGTTTATCCCTTGTAAGCTGAGTTTCCTGGAGTTCACTCTCCCTGAGTGCTCTCACCCCTCCCATGGCTTCAACAATCACCTATGGGCACATGACTTTCACATATCCTGAGCTGCAACCCCACTGGGTACACAGCTGCCTGTGAGATATCCCCCAGGTTGTTCTTGCCAGAGACGTGGTCATCATCTCCAAGATGATGTCTCCCTTGCCCCTTCTTCCATCCCTTAGCCACCATCCAAGGGCTTTGTCCTTTGTCCAATTTGTCCATTTCTGCCCATCTCTAGGGTTCATGCCTCATTGCTCAGCTTCCTCAAACATGCCCTATATAATCTGTTCCTGGTTTTCTGAACAATATCTGATTTCATTGCCTTTGGGCCTTTCTGCATGCTTTACCAACCCCCTCACTCAGTGCAAATTCCTAGCCTCAGCTATTTCCTCCTAGAAGTCTTCTCTGACCAGGCAGGATTCAAGCCCCTCCTATGGACCCCTGTGCTAAGACCACGTATACTATGTCGAAACTGTCTGCCTATCTGGCCTGCTGGACCTGAGATCCCCAAGGGCAGAGAAAGGGCTTGCTTACCTGTCACCCCAGCACTCAGCACAGGGTCTTAGGCAATGTGTTTGTTGAATGAATAAGGGCTGCTTGCAGCTAACACTCTGCTCCGATGACTCTGGGCCTTCTGTGCTTTTGGTTCCCCATCGTACAGAGGCCACTGAATTTCCTTCCACACGAGGTGACCTTGGGCAAACCCCTTCCCCTCACTGGGGCCCCAGCCTGTTAGCCTACTCTGCCCTGCTGTAAGCCTGCCTGAGCTGAAGCTTCCTGGAAGGGAGAGGATGCCCCTAACCTTCTCCACCCCAACTGTGTGGCAGCCAGGCTGCTACTGGGACCAGGACTCAGCATTTGGGGAGACTTCTGCACCTCCTCAACTTGCAGGAAGAGTCTGGGCATAGCAGTCTCCTCTTCCCCAGTTCAGGCTCTGCTCAGGTTAAGACCTACTCCTATAGGGAACCCTAAAGAGCCCATAACCCCGACACTTACAAAGATGAGCATATTGAAGAGGATCATCATGGTCTTAATGAAGCTGAAGCACTGCATGGTGGCTCCTGGGAGGCAGATGTGTGTGTTAGGACCTTGCTCCCTGCCCCCACCCCCAACCTGGGCTGACATACCAGACTCCAGCATCCTGGACTCATATAATCACCAAGCTTTTCCTGCATCTGGACTCTGACACCTCAGGACTTTTCCCAATTCCCATCCTGACGCTCCTATCCCTCTGTACTGCCCAGGCCCTCTACCAACACCTGGCACTCTGAAATCCTAACATCCCAGGTTCCTCTACTGGCACCCCAAGCCTGACTCCCACACTACAGGGTCACTCCATGCCCTTCCCTGGCACCTGTGTATCCTGGGCTTTCCACTCCCCCCGAAACCAATCCTAGACTCTTCCAAGACCCTCCCCATGGCCCTTCCAGCTCCCCAAACCTGTTTCCAGATTGATTTCACTTCACGGGATAGTCTCTGTCCTATGCCATCACCTGTTCAGGGTTCTTGGTAGTGAGTTCTGAGAGAGGGATCTGCTGAGGCTCCAGGGGGAACTGCAGCTCCGGGGAACTGCCACTGAGTGGGCAGGCGGGGAGACGGAGCTGGCTCTCACACAGCACTGCTCACCTGTGGGCGGGGCAGGTGCTTTAAAGGCCTCCTTCTGCCCGCCCGCCTACCCCACACGCAGCCAGTCCGCCTCCTCCAGCGCCTGCTGCCCCCCTGCTGCCTGGCGCTCCGTCCTCACAGCCCCAGCCTCCTCGGGGCTCCTCCTGGCATCGCCAGCCATGGGCAACGCCCCTCCTGACCTGAAGGAGAGAGAGGTCTGGGGGTGGGGCAAGTGGCCCCCCAGAACTGTGTGCCCTCCACCACGGCAGCGCACAGGCGCTTCCTACCCTGCACCTGCTGATACTGTCGTACACACCCTGCATGCTCGAGGCACGCACATCTGCCCAAGCTGTATATTCAGACACACACACACACAAACACCTCCTAGCGCTCTCGAATGCACACTCACACACGCACACACACACTCTGAACTGTGTGGACTGACTCCCAGCAACAATCAACAGAGCAACATCTGAAGTACGTACTGAAACACTCTCTCTCTCTCTCTCTCTCACACACACACACACACACACACACACACACTCACGCAGACATGCCCACACATGCTTTCAAGGCAACGGCCAAGGCTTGGAGTTTTCTGCCCCCTCCTCTGAGCGGAAAAAGACTCCTAATCTTCTAGTCTTTTTCTCTCCACAAAACTTCAACCCCACACCATTGTAAAGCAATTATACTCCAATAAAGATGTTTTAAAAAAAAACCTTCAACCCATCTTTCTCCTCCCTGAGTCTTTCCTCCTCACTCTTCTCCCTCCCCACCCTTTCTCTCTCCTCAGTCCTCTCAGCACTCTGCATACACCCCTTCCATTCCTGCCAGCAGGGGGCACCATGGTCCCACAAAAGCACTGCCCCCATTCCTCCCCCGACCCCTCCCCACCAAGTTCTACAGCTCGGTAATCCCCATCGTCGTCAATCCTTCCGGGGCTGCTGGTCCTGGAGGTCGAGGTGCTGGGAAAGTTCTGGCTTTTAAGTCACTCAGACCAAGTGCTCGAATCCTGGTTCTGTTGCTTATTAGCTGTGTGACCCTAGGGGCATTTCTTAGACTTGGGTTTAAGCCTCTGTTTCCTGGTCTGTATAACAGAATAGTTATGGGGTTTTCAAGTGAGATTTAAAATGAGATTTTTCTTCCCACTCTGGGACATAAGGGAATGACCACAGAGTGAAAAGTTCAGCATAAGGAGAGTCACAGCCAGAGGGAGTGTGGGATGGAAGATTTTTAAATTTGTTTTGTTTTTATAATGGGAGGAGGCAGTTGAAGAGACAGGAGAGAGAGGAAGGCTGTTAACACTAACATTTGTACATATCGTGTTTTAAATGCATAACTTATATAGTAAGTCTTTTTTCTCCTTTCACAACAATCTTATAAGACTCTCTTTTCGTCTGCTTTTTAAATATGGGGAAAGAGAGGCACAGAAGGTTAAGTGCACATTTCTGAATGAATGAATGCTCACAGAGTAGCAGGAGTTAAACGTCTGGGCTTTGGGCCTTGGCCATCCCAGATTTGAATCCCTGCCTGCCTCTAATTGTGTGAGCCTAACTGAGCCTCAGTTTCCTTGTACAGTTGATCCTCATTATTCATGGATTCCATATCTGTGAATTTACCCACTCACTAAAAATGATTTAAAACTCCAAACCAATACTCACAGCACTTTTGTGGTCATTCATGGACATGCGCAGAGCTGCAAAAAATTTGAGTTGTCTACCATGCTTGTTCTCAGCTGAGGTTGAACAGGGGGATGCTCTGCCTTCTTGTTTCAGCTCTCACAATGTAAACAAGTGTTCTTTTTGCGGCCTATTTAGTGTCTGTCATGTTTTTTGCATTTTTGTGCTTTTTGTTGGTGACTTTGCTATTAAAGACTCCCTCAGCGTAGTGCTGAAGTGCTCTCTAGTGTTCCGAAGTGCAAGAAGGCTGTGATGTGCCTTATGAAGAAAATACATGTGTTAGATAAACTTCATTCAGGCAAACGTTGGCCATTTGTTGGCTGTGAGTTCAATGTTATTGACATCAATATATGTTAAATGAAGTGGCTTTAACAGAAACACAAATAAACTAGGTTATTTTTCAGTTGACAAAATGTTGTGACCAGAGGTTAGTATGAATCTAATCCTGTATTCCTCCTGGGAGCATTGGCTCAATATTTGCTAATACAGTGTTTGTGGTGACTTTATTAGGGCTAACTACCACGAATAACAAGAATCGACTGTATATGAAATAGGAATAATGACAGAATCTCCTTGTAGGTTTGTTGTGGGATTAGATGAGATTATGTTTGTAAAGGACTTGGCACTGTGTTTGGCACATAGTAAGTACTCAATAAACATTGTTAATGTGGATGAGTGAGAAAATGAGGGAGGGATTTTTTTACTCAGAGTTCCTTTTTTCCAAGGGGCCAAGCTGAGGTTTTCTGGCTCTTTGGCTGGACCCATGGAGAGAATTGTGAGGGAGCCTGACCCCTAAGGGAGGGGCTGGGGATCAGGACCTGTAATAAACAGCATTACTCTTACATAGCATACTCTTACTCTGTATGTCATAGAGGCCTCAGCTGCCCTGGCCAGTAGCACCATCAGGCACATGACAGAAGTTCCCTGCGCCCATGGGGCCTTCTCAGCTTGTCTGTGCCCCTTGGCCCCAGGGCTTGTTACATATTTATTTATTTATTATTTATTTTTGGCTGCGTTGGGTCTTCGTTGCTGCGCGTGCGCTTTCTCTAGTTGTGGCGAGCAGGGGCCACTCTCCGTTGCGGTGTGCGGGCCTCTCACTGCGGTGGCCTCTCCTGCTGTGGAGCTCGGGCTCTAGGCGCACGGGCTCCAGCAGCTGTGGCACATGGGCTCAGTAGTTGTGGCTCACAGGCTCTAGGCACGTGGGCTTCAGTAGTTGTGGCACACGGGCCCAGCTACTCTGCGGCATGTGGGATCCTCCCCGACCAGGGCTTGAATCCGTGTCCCCTCCATTGGCAGGCGGACTCTCAACCACTGCGCCACCAGGGAAGCCCGGCCCCGGGGCGTAATTTCCCCCTACCAGAGGCCAGGTATGGGCTGACCTCGGCTCCGGTTTCCCAGGATGTTTAAGTGTAGCCGCAGAAGGTACCGGCAGAAATCCCAAGGCCCAACTGCCACCACTGCAGCCACCAATCTTGCCACCATGGCCACGGATATCAACGACACCCACACTGCCACCACTGCAGCCACCAATCTTGCCACCATGGCCACGGATATCAACGGCACCCACACTGCCACCACTAGGGTGTGGATCCTTCCACTGCAAGGTTAGCCGAGGGCCCTGAGCCAGGGTGGGGGGTGAGAAAAATGGGGCCACTCAAGTTTTCCCCACATTAGCCCTGTGCAGGCACTGTAGGGGACACACCTTCTGTGAATTATCACCCCAAAGGTATGGTGGGGTCTTGATGGCAGGCATCCCTAAGGCTGAGAGCCTTAACGGAGGATGTACTGGCTGGAAGTGGAGAGCCTGGGGAAACGGGAGAATCGAGGAGCAGTGGAGCTTCCAGAGCTTCTGCCTTCCTCACACTCTTCCCTCTCCTTCCTCTCCTCAGTACTCAGACACCTTTGTCAACGTGGCAGCTTTCTGATCCTCTAGAAATGCCCAGAAACTAGTCCAGAAGCTTGGCTGGCTCCGGACCTGCATCTCCTAAGGGCCACGGGTGGTAAACAGCAGGCAAATAACAATCCTTTCTGCTCCAACTCTTTACTCCACTCCAAGGTGTTTCCAGCTGACTATGTAGGGTATGAGGGCAGGGTTGGGACTGAATGCTCCCAGGGATAGGCTTCAGCGACAGCAGCAGGCCTCAGAGTAAGACAGTGGAAGGACAGAACAAGGTCAGCAACACACACCGTCTTTGGCCTCAGCTTTTGATCTGCCCTACGAGGTGGGGGAACTTCCTGCCTTGCACTCCCATCTGCACAGGGAAAAGGATCTCCGGAAACACCTTGGAAGGTATAAGAAGCCAGATCCTTGGAGAGGGAGGTAGAGGCACAGATCAGAAAAGGATAGCATGAAAGACAGATTTCACTGCTCCAGTGTAAACCATGAGTGCCTGAGTGAAAGGGGTATGTGGCTCTGTGTGCCTCTTATGGTCGGTGTTTGTGAGACCAAGAGAATGGGGATCTAAGCAGACATGTGGCTGAACGTGCCTTTGCAAAGAATGTGCCTCTATTGCCAGCTGTGTGTGTCAAGGTGTGTTTGTGAGCATATGAGCGGGTCGGAGAGAGAGGCATCATCTCCACGAAGAGGAATGAAGGTCAGGGGGCGGGTGCGGGCGGCCGGAAGGAGGAGAGTGTCAGCTTCTGAGAGGGGTGTACCGTCTTCAGCCCCACAGCCATTCTCTGAGGTTGGTATTTTCCAGGACTAACAGCTTAGCTGGGGTGTTTGGGGGTGGGGTGAGACTGAGTTAGAGTCCAGAAAGTGGGACTCAGGCCTGGGGATTTTCCACTTGGATTTCCGCATGTGCGCCCATGTGTCATCGGGTGTAACTGAGTTTACGTGGGGTGCGTCTCCATGGAGTTGTGTCTCAGTGGCAGGAAACATTGTGAGGGACTGTGTCTCTAAGGTGTCACTTTATGCACAAGTTAGTGTGTGTCCCAATGTCCTGAGGTCTGGCTCCAGTTCCAGGGCTCCCTTCCTTGAGGGTTGGGGGTGGGAGTGAACACTGAGACCTTTGGCCTGGCCCCCTGGGAAGCCTGTGAGGAGAAAATGAATTCTGTCTGCTTTCATTCACTCCAAGGCTTGCCAGAGACTGGGACCCTGAGAGGAGGAGGGGGCAGAGACTTCACTGACACATCGTGCCCAGACAGCACTGGCGGAGGATGAGGCTTCTCAGGGTTTAGGGGGAAGGTGCTGAACCCCAGTCAGAGCTGGAAGCTAGCTAGGCTAGTGCCCAAGGCCCACAGAGGGGCCCACACATATAAAGACACATGACAGGAACACATGCAGACATGTAAATACAACTGGACTCACAGATACACAATGCAACAAATTCACACATGCATACAAGTACATGCCTATAAACAGATATGTGCACTGACACAAATGCATATAAACCTCTCCACATGACACATGTAACAACACATACACGTGCCTACAAATGAGCACACACACACACACACACAAACATGCATGCTCCTAGACACAGCACACAAGCGTATAGACAGACACTTGCAATCACACTCATGCAAACCCAGGTACACACACACATACATGCAAACACACTCGCCAGACTTCCCTGCCCCTGCGGCCCTGGGACCCAGAAGAGCCTCTCTCCCCTATATGAGTGTATGTGTGTGTTTGTGTGCAAGCGCATGCATGCATGCATGCCCACACTTGTGTCTGTGTGTATCTGGGTCTGTGAGAGTGTGTGTGCATTTGTGTGTGTGTGTGTGTGAGTGAGCGGGGTGCTGAGCTGTGGGAACCCGATGACATCAGCTCTTCTGGCTATTTTTAGCTCCCTCTGCAATGATGGCTGCTTCACTGCCCCTCCCCCTCCCAGGTTCCCATCTCTCCTCCCCCTTCAGCCTCCCAGCGGCAGCCGCAGCCAGTGGGCACCCACCACCCCAGTCTAAGTGACCCCCCGGTTGACCGCATACAGTTCATTCTCCCTCACCCCAGCCATAGCTCCCTGGAAGCTGAGAACACTGGGCTCCCAGGCCAGAGGAGGAGGCTTGGGCAGTCTGGCAGCCCAGAGAAGGGGCCTGGGTTAGGTGAGCTGACCTGGCCGGTCTCCAGCCCCTAGGGCGCCTCTCCTTCTGCTTTTCAATCTGAAACTGTGTCTTGGTCAGTAGTGCCTGCTGTGTGCCAGGGAGGATGCCAAGTTCTGGGGACAGAGCAGTGAGCATGACAGTGGGCGTTCTTCCTGGCTGGAGTTATGGCTCGGTGGGAGACAGACATGAAACAGAGCACACAGGCACCGCACTGGACCGCGGCGAGGGCTCTGAAAATTGGTAACGAGGGGATTTAGTCTGGGGTGATGGTCTCTGTCTCTCACAGAGGTGACCTGAGGGAACCAGAGGGGCACTCCCTTTACCTTGCACCTCGCACCCCAACAACCACACCTCCAGAATCCCGCATAGTACTGCTTCCTTCTCACACCCCACTCTCTGCTCCCAGCACTGCAGCAGCCCACCATCCAAGTGGTGGCCCACTGCTATTTGTGTCTCTCTTTTCTTTGGAGCTTCCCCACAATCGATCCCCAGGAAGCAGTCCAGTGTTTCCCATCTCTAGATGAGAAAACTGAGGACCAGAGAGGGGTAGTGCTGGACCACATCCCTCAATGCCCAGGAAGCAGCCCAGGCGAGATGGCAGGCAGGTGGAGGAGGAAGTGGTGGTGGCACCGGTGTAGAAGGAGCAGGGATGAGGTCAGGAGGTGGGAGAGGGGAGGACCGCAGCCTGAGGGACTCGTGCCTGGAGGAGGGCTTCCTGCTCTACCCAGCCAGGGCAACTGCTGGAAAATCGGGTTTGGCAGCTTCAGCTAAGCCGCAGGGCTGGAGTAGTGGTCCAGACCACACCTGGCAGGTGGCCTGGAGGTGGGCCCATCCTCTAGCATGGAGTCTGGCCAAATGGTCTCATTGCGGGAGCATTTTATAATACTGGGGCCCTTTGGAGTATGTGGAAAATAGCTCTGGGCTGAAGTCAGGAGCCCAGAGTTTCAGTCATTGTTTTGCCCCAGACCCCAGTGTGATCCTTAGAAAGTCCTGCCCCCTTTCTTGGCCTCAGTGGGCCCTTCCGGGAAGGAGCTCTAGAGGATCAGTTTCCCCACCCCCAACTCCTGCCCTCCGTGTTTTCCTGGGAGTCTGACTTAGGCACAGGAACACAAAGCCAGTGGGTAGGGGCTGACCAGACAGCCTCTAGGGCGCCAGGCTGGAGGTCCCTTGTCACCAATGGATCAATGGCCGGAAGCCCAGCTCCAGCCCCACAATGCAATACCGGTCACCCCACCCTTACCAGTGCCCTCGCCCCCACCCCCACTTCCGGCCTCTGTTCCTTCCTCACCTTCAGGGAAAGCTGCAGGGCTCCCTAGGGAATCTCCCATATCTCCTCCACTGGCTCCCTGCCCTGTGCTTAACCCTCCCCCTCTGCCCATTTGGCCAGGCCAGTCTCCCAGTCAACTTTCTTTTCCTGGACCCACAGGCAGTCCAGGGAGTAAAGGAAGCTGGGTGGGAGGGCTGTAAAGGAGGCTGCTATTCCTGCTACCCTCAGATACTGGAGCCTAAATAAGGGGCTTTGGGGAGGCAGGTGGACTGAATGCATGGGCCTAAGACTGGGCTGCCCTGGGCATATCCCACCCCGGGCAGCCCCAGGGGAGGTAGGAGTGCTACCCTTCACCTATCCAGCCATCTTTTTCCTCTGCCTTCAGTGAATTCATAGCAAAGAGCCTAGAGCTGAGACTTGCATTCTCTGGAGAACAAACACAGAAATCCAGGCCAAGTGAATCCTGACTGTTGTCACCATGTCAATGACAAATTCATGAAACACAAAAATCATAAAATTCTGGATGCATAGAATCCATAGTCGCAGTATCTTAGCATCACAGAATTCTAGCATGGTGCAATCTGAGTTACAGAATCTTAGAAATACAGAATTCTGGCATCACTGAGTCCCAGATGACAAGGTTAGCATAGCCTTGAGAAGGAAGTCTTGAGAAGTCAATTAGTAAAGGGTGGATGTCTAATCCAGGGGATTCCCCACTGGGGATGCGCACAGGAGTTCTCACATGAACGGGAAGGAGGAGGCAGAGCCCGGGACACATGAGCTTGGGTGAGGTAACACACCTGCAGTAAACCAGACAGAAGACAGACCTCTTTCATAAGGACACATTCCTGGTTCCTGAGGATGAGGGGAGTGGAGTGGCAGTGAAGAGAGAAGGGGAACTATATAAACAAACAAAGTGTAACCTGAAGAAAAATTCATCAAGTAGCACAATATACTGGCCCTAATGCGTCCGACTTCCACAGGATTGGGGTTAACATCAGCACAGAACATTTTCAAAGGTTAGTAGGTTAGTAAGACTCTTTATCACATTAGAATGGTGACCCATGGCTGGCTTTTTTTTTTGATCAGAAAGGTACCAAACAGAAAAAAGTCTATATACTACACTTTTCTTGGGGCTGCTGGCAGGAGCAGCCTCTCTCTGAAGGGATGCTGAATCTGGAGCAACATGGTGTACACAAAAGCCAGCTTGTGGGGTGGGGTTCAGAGCCCCCAGCAAGGCCCTGGTAGGGGGCCTTGTGGAGGGCATCTGTCTGGGGTGGTGTCTGTTGGGG